ATCCATTTTTTTGTAGTTTCCTGTATTTCAGCAGCTTGGTCAGACATACGATAGTAACAACCTGCTTGCAATTATACAATGGACTAGAAGGGTCTTTACCCAAAGATACTGTGGAGTGAAATATTGTTCCCAAGATTGAACTTAGAGGCTTTTATGCTTACGATGAGTCAGTTAGATTAGAATAATAGTTTAGCTATAGTATGTATCATACTACTTGAATGAAAATGTATTTATGTTTTCAATTGGTTAATAAACTCACAATCTAACCTAGCTATGGATATATAAAAAAAAAAAAATTATTTATCAATTCTTTAGAAAAGTAAAATATTGTTCCCTAGATCTAATTTAGAGTACTTCAATGCAACAAAGAGTTAGTTATTATATAAAAAATCTGTAATATTATAGGTAATTATATAATTTTTCCATAAAGATCAAGTTAAGTAATATAGTTGCAAATTAAAAAAAAAATAAAAATAAAAAAACAAAATATAATATTACTTATAACTTAAATTATCAAATAAACAATTATTGTATTTGTTATAATATGGCAAATATTTCTTGAATATTATTAAAATAAAAAATTCAAAATTTAAATAAAGATCTTAAGTTTATATATTAATATTTAAAACAAAAAAATCCAATAATTTTATTAAAGATATAATAATAAAATTATTATAATTCAAAAAATAATTAAGAAAAATAATAAACTTTATAATTAACAAAAAATAAGTTAAAATAATTTTGAACAAAATTAAAGTTAAAATAGAAAATAATAAACATATCTTTATTTAAAAAGATAAAATAAAAAAAATATAATATAATATTATTAAAAAGTCTTTAAAAAATAAACAATTAATATTAAGGGGTAACTATCTCACCACTGCTATGACGAATATTCTATGATTCTTTATTCTGTAAGATTCAAAATGACAAAGAAAAGGAATACAAAATGTCAATCTTCTGGAATTTAGATCTCAAAGGACAGACCACAAAAAGGCTAGAATCAAGACATGCAATTATAGCCTTTATGGATGATATAATATGGATAGCAAGATCCAAAAAGAATATGAAAGAAATCCTCAAAACTACAAGAGTTTTTTACAAAGCCAATGATTTTCAAATCAATAGTAATAAATCAGTCCTAATTACTATTAACAATTCTAATTGCTATTCAGAAGAAGTTTAGGCCGGTATAGAAAAAGAAGTGGTAAAGGAGCTTAACAGAGCAGAACATACAAGATTTCTATGAATCTGGATCAGCAATTAAAAAATTGCAGTTGAACTTAAAGAAATAGTGCTAAAAGAGATCAATGTAGTAACCAGAGCTCTTAAAAGCAAGAAATTAATAGATAAACAAATCTTGTATATTCTAAACAAGATATTTATTTCAAGGATAGAATTTAGGATACAGTATAATATACCACCTTAGAAAATATGCAACACTCTAATGGCAACATATAGAAGCTCTTCAAAAACAAGAATACCTTATGTAAATCCATACCTAATAGTATAATATATCATCTAAAGATTCACAACCTGAAAAGCATCTGAATGCTTCAGCGAGAAAGTCAAATAATAGGATTATGTAATAGACTAAATGATCCTGGTCCTGCAGAAATAATAACAATTATCTAACTCAAACAAGCACAGATAAAGAATTGGGAACTGCTTAACCTATTAATATATAACTCTCTGAATTATCTACCAGATAGAGGAAACTTCATGCTCCAAGTAATAAAGTTGGCTAAAGATATAAGAATAACATTTCACAATTGGAAATAGCAAGAAATCTTCGAATAGAGCAAGAGAAATAGTTTAATTAAGAAATATCTTACATTAGAAGAATATAGAAAAGCCATACTATTTCTAAGAAACAATAAACTGCTATATGTAAACCAGCTAATCGATCAAGCTACTAAAGAAATTAGGGATTGGCGAATGCTCCAACTACTTCAGAACATCAGTAAAGGTTCTATTCCTGAATGGTTTTAAGCATTAATCAAAATTCTTTCAAGTAATAGGGTAGGTCAACTCATGAGTATATGGAAAAGAGATTGGACAAAGTGGGAACCAGAATATGTTGCAATTAATCCAGACTATGACAAATGACAAAAACTATGGATAATTACAAAGAAAACTGGATATAACATAATCTGAGGAAAACTACAACAAACAAAAGTAGGATATAAAGTCAATATCGAACACTTCAACTGCTATAGTAATAATAATACTCAAATAATAATATTAACAAGGTGCCCAGGATATCCAGAAGGTTCAAAACAAGAAGGGTGATGTATATTAGAGAAAGATATGAAAGATATATATAAAGTTTCATATCTCAATACAAGAAAGTTAACTGGAAGAGCTCAAAAACTAATAATCCCCTGCTCCAAGGTATCACTAGAAGGGACAATGGAAAAGATTACTAACATGGATCCAAACCCTCAAATCTTGGTTCCAACCAATATAGTGAATTGGGTAGATATCGAAAGATGTGAAGAGATCATCATTAGAGACAATGTTATAGAAGGAGTATATCAGGACCACCTAATAGAAATACTTTAACATAACCTGAGATCCAATATTAAAAAATTAATCTTCTACTCCGATGAATTACTCATTAATTATGGAAAGAAAGAAATGAAAATGGCAGCATGGATCCAGATAGGAGATATGGATAGAGAAAGTAGATTTCAGACAGAAATAGACAGTTGACCCTCCTCAACATGTGCTGAACTTGTAGCAATTGTCACATTACTTCTGGTAGTTCCAGTGGGTAGCAATATGGAAATTCATACAGATAGCCAGGCCTGTATCTCCAAGTGAAAAACAATAGAAAAAGAAGATCCAAAGCAAACTCACAAAAGATGGTTAAAGAAAAAAAACTGGTTCCTATAGATACGAATGTTAGAATTGATAAAGAAAAAGACTATATATAAACCTGCAACTTATTAAGGTTAAGGCATATTCCAATAATCCTCACAATGAGGAAGCAAATGTCCTAGCTAAAGAAGCTTTGAAACTCTCAGCAATAAAATAGAAAGAGCTAATCTTATACAAGATCATCACAGAAATTAGATGGCAAAAAAAGACACTGGATGACCCAATAAGACAGTTTGTCAAAAAAGTAAACAATAAAACAATTGCCTTCCAGTGAACACAACAAAACAGAACTGAAAAAAGATGGAGTCATCAAATTATAGAACAGTAGAATCATATTTGAGACCTTGTATGGAAAAAAATAAAAGAAGGATATATCTAGGATACTTCCTTTAAACAATTGCAATGAAAAACCTTTCTCATAAAACTAATGAATGATGAGCTATCAACTCTGAACAAGCTGGCAACTAGAAGGTTCGATCTTTACAAACAAGTGAAATGTATTGCATGTAACCAATAAAGGGAAACTTTCAAACATTTATTAGAGTGTCCAGTATGCAAGAAACAATTACAGGAAGCATGAAATAAAGGATAAGATGGGATCATTAGAGACTTCAGAGGGCCCTTACAACAGAGAAAAAAAGAGACAGAAGAAAAACATGCAAGGTTAATTATCCATGACAAAGAATAAATGGCTAAGGTGAATAAATGGATTACCAAACTGATAGAACAGATCTCAAAAATCAGTCAGAACACTCTAAGTTTTTGCATAGGACTAGTAAAGAGAGACTTAATCCTAAAAATGACAGATATGAAATATTATGAAAAAAGAATTGATAATAACGCAAAAAGATAGATATTAAAAATGCAAAGAAGAGTATGTAGCCAAATAAGGAAAAAGATTTGGAACAAAAGATATGAGAAGATAATCAAATGGGAATATTCACAGGGAATTTGTAGAGTAAAAAAAATCAATCAACCTTCAGGTACATATAGCTTAAAACCATTAGTCCTCAAAAGTAAAGATTCTCTATCAGAGGAAGGAACTCAAAAAAATGAAAGCCCGAAAGAAATTTTACTCAAAGGTGTTACTTATGAAATAAAGTACTTGGGTTTTAAGCTGGGTCAGAACAACAGATAGTAATTTGCAATGGTGATTTGCAGGTAATGATGTTAAAGGTTGGAAGGGTATTCACCTGAATTATTAATGGATTGATAAATCACTCCTGAAGTTGTACTTAGAGTTTTAATATATTAAGTCAAAACAGTAACAAGTGAGTTAGATAAAGTCTTAGCTTTAGCGAATCATTTAAAATTTACAGCATATAAACGTTTAATAAAACACATGTACTTAGCCTAACTTAGGGTTAATAAAAATAAATAAATAAATAAATTGTTTTCATTTTGAAAAATTTATTTACATTTATATTATATAAATAAAATTCTAATATAAATAATATCTATAAAAATAATAAATGAATTAATAAATAAATTATTAAAGACAACTATATTTTAACCATTAATTTATTCATATTTAAACAAATTCATAAAATATAACACAACTATTTATTTTTTGTTTAATATAAAAATAAACATTATCTTTGCTTTAACAAGTTAGTTCTTTCTTAATTTAAAATTACATTAAGCCATTTGATAAACTTTAATTTTAAGAAGTTTAATAACATAAATGATATATACAATACATGCTATTTTTTTATAATACCTACAATGCTTATTGTATATTACTTTATTTAAACAATACTGAGTTAACATTAAAAATATATATATTATATTATTTAAAATATATAGTATAATATTTATGCATTTTTTAAATTAGATTAAAATTTTTTGTAAAAAAATAAAAAATAATCAATATTATTGCAAGCACAATTTTAATTTAAAAAAAGAATAAATAATTTTAAAAAGACATGAATATAAAAATATATATGCAAATTTATATGCTAATTTGATATTTCTAAATATAATATTATCTGTAGGCTGTCATGGGTTGTTGAAACACATTTTGATTTTGATTTGGTGTAAAAACATTACCAACATTGCCTTTTCCTAAATTTCCTTGAGGTTGTTGTTTATTCTGATTTTGCTTATATCTGTTTCTTATGAAGAATAAGCAAAATATAATTCCTATTAAAGTTGCGACACCCAAACTAGCGAATACGGCGATTAATACTAAATGTTTGTTCGCAGTAGCTGCCATAGAAGTTTGGGATGGTGAAGACGTTGACGTTTCGGAAGTTGGGGTTGATCCGCTTGAAAAAAAAAATTTAAAATATACATTAAAAAAATGTTT